GAAAGAAACGGGGTCTCACTATGTTGCCCAGGCTGGTCTCGAACTCCTGAGGTCAAGATATCCTCCTGCCTCAGCCTCCCAAAGTGCTAGGGTTACAGGCAAGAGCCACCATGCCCGGCCTCAACTTAGTTTTTTAATGTCTTTTATTTATTTATTTATTTTTTTGAGACTGAGTCTCACTCTGTCACCCAGGCTGGAGTGCAGTGGTATAATCTCAGCTCACTGCAACCTCCGCTTCCCCGGCTCAAGCAATTCTCATGTCTCAGCCTCGTGAGTAGCTGGGACTACAGGCACGAGCCACCACACTGGCTAATTTTTGTATTTTTAGTAGAGGTGGAGTTTCACCATGTTGATCTTAAACTCCTGATTTCAGGTGATCCACCCAACTCGGCCTCCCAAAGTGCTGGGAATAAAGGCGTGAGCCACCACTTCTAGACATCTAATGTCTTTAAAGTCATATCAAAGGGCCGGGCGCCATGGCTCATGCCAGTAATCCCAGCACTTTGGGAGACCAAAGTGGGCAGATCGTGATGTCAGGAGATCGAGGTCATCCTGGCTAACACAGTGAAATCCCGTCCTACTAAAAACACAAAAATTAGCCTGGCGTGGTGGTGGGCACCTGTAGTCCCAGCTACTTGGGAGACTGAAGCAGGAGAATCACTTGAACCCGGGAAGCAGAGGTTGCAGTGAGCCAAGATCACACCACTGCACTCCAGCCTGGGCAATAAAGCAAGACTCTGTCTCAAAAAAAAAAAAAAGTCACATCAAGTCTACAAATTACTGTTTCTGAAGACAGAACTTTAAATATTCCCTTCCCATTTCTGACATGCTTATTTATAATAAATCATAAAAGCACTCTAAAGAGAATAAATGGAATTCTTACATTTTAAAACATTTTCTTAATATAAAGAATAACAATTCAAATCATATTTTACATTTCTACGTCTTCATATTGCACTAAAATTATTTTACATGGAAGAACTAGTTGATGCATCATAATACCTTAGAAACATTTTTTGATATTCACATCTACATTAATAAATATTTCACAGTCTACTTAAATAAATATTCTAGTATAGAGTGAATCATCTAACAAAAACAAATCTACAGTGCTACTTTGTTTTTGAGAGCAAAGATATTCAGTATTTTTATTTCTGCCTCTGGGAAACACACTGACATTTTCAAACACATGTAAGTCACTCATAGTACCTAGTAATAACAACTGAGCAAGACTTAGTCGTTCATTCATTTATTAAACGGGGTCTCACGATGTTGCACAGGCTGGCATGGAATTCCAGGGCTCAAGTGATCCTCTCACCTCAGCTTCCAGAGTAGCTGGGACCACATGCCCATCCTACCATGCCCAGCTTCTTCATTTATTTTTGTGTCTCTACATGGCTACTTTTTAAATACAACATTAATTTTATTTAAAAAATGAAGGAAAGAAGTGTTTTTCCTATTATCCAGTGGAGCATAATTGTGAGAAGAGAGATAACAAAAATAAAATGTCAATGCTGGCTGTTTTATAGAACTTAAAAATTCAGTTCTCATTATTCTACTGCAATATAACCAACCCTGCTTATTTTAATAATAATAAACACTGTCAGTCTTTTAAAAACCATGATAACAATTAAAAACTTTGAACAGCATGACAAAGCTAATGGCAACCTCTTGAACCCCGTTTTAAAGCTAGTTCTACTTCCAAATAAAACTTTAAAGCGGTTTAGCCAGCATCAGCTTAGGAATATGTTTTTCAATGTTCTAAGGTATAATGTTTGGCATCAAAAAGTATGGTAAGCACTTCTGATTTGTGACTAAAGAAAAAATAATCAAGTACTAAAATACCAGTGGCTCCTGTGACAGTGTAAATATCCCCATTCAAGTAATGTTCCCCCAACAATTAAAGTAACGCTTCATTTCTCCCTCTGAGAATGTATTAAGGAAAACCAACCATAATTTTTTTTTTTTAGTTGAGGTGAAAAACCTGCTTCATAAGTTCATATGTTGTAAAAGCAACTGCTTGAGAGGGAATACAGCGAATGTAATTAAGAGATAAACCACGATAGAGTCCTTTTCGAATTCCATGGTGTCCATAGACATACTTCATAGTATCCCGCATGGTACTGAAAGACAATGATTAAATGATGACACCTCTATGCCCATTCATGAAGAAACAATTTCAGGATCCATAATATCAATTTTTTTTTTTTTTTGAAATGGACTCTTGCTCTGTCACCCAGGTGGGAATGTGGATTGCAGTGGTACGATCTCAGCTCACTGCAGTCTCTGCCTCCCAGGTTCAAGTGATTCTCCTGCCTCAGCCTCCTGAGTAGCTGGGATTACAGGCGCATGCCACCATGCCCAGCTAATTTTTGTAATTTTTAGTAGAGATGGGGTTTCTCCATGTTGCCCAGGGCAGTCTCGAACTCCTGACCTCAGGTGATCCACCCACCTCGGCCTCCCAAAGTGCTGGGATTACAGACGTGAGCCACCGCACCCAGGCCATAATATCAATTTTTAAAGAAGCTTAAATGCCATCTTGAATAGCTTTAGGAAGACAAATGTTATAACAAGCGAAACTTTTTTCATAATAAAAAGGCAAATCATTCCAAACAAGTACAAGCATTATGCATCAAATTTCAGGACTCATTAGTACAACATATTTTGTTTGTACTATGTCTATGACATTTATTGGACAACACTATTTCATACTTATATTTGAAATATTAATGCAATCCTTTTAAAGGATGTATGTCCAGTTGCCCTTTAAGCCTTTATTATAGCTGAAGTTGCACAGTACCAACAGCAGGTGGTTATAGAACTAAAGCTTGAAGGACTATCTTTCAGATTTCAGCCAAGAAGACTTTCCTGTTTCAGAGTTGTTCCTTTCCTTTCAAACCAATAATTTGGGCTTGGCCTTCCCCTTTCAACAGGCAATCTGGACTGAAATCTTTTCAAAAATCTTTTTTTTTAAGACTAAGTCTGGCTCTGTCGCCCAGGCTGGAGTGCAGTGGCCGGATCTCAGCTCACTGCAAGCTCCGCCTCCCGGGTTTACACCATTCTCCTGCCTCA